CCGGTAACCTGGGGACTATTTCCCCTACTATCACTAGCACATAACATCATATCATACGAACACATAAACATAACACAGGTGGTAGCAACCCTAGATGAATTTCACAGAGACAATCATCTAATCATACAATTCCTACTAGTGGGCCGACATTGTGGCCTTAGAACCACTGCTACTAGAAGGTAACTCACCTCGAAGTAGCTGTTGAAAGTCTGCTTGCTGAGCGCCTGAGTGCTGAACCGGAACTTGATGGGTTTTGATCATAAGAACATCCTATGTGCTCATACAAACCCTAATGCTTGGATCTAGGTTTCTCTATTGTACATGCAATTTATCCAAGACTATAAACCCTAATTCTAGAATATGATAATCAATATTAACATAATAATAGGTTTAAGATATTACCTTGATTGTTATGTGGCAATAACAATCACAATTCCTTCTTGTAATGACTTTAGAAAGCTTAGAGTCACAAATGTCACTCCTCTAATGGTTCACAAACACCAAGAGCAAGAGGATGAAGAAGATAAGAGAAGGAGGCTACCCAAAATCGTCCAAAACCTTAGAGAACAAGTTCACCACGTTTTTGGGGCTTAAGGGTGCTATTTATACATGTAGGCTATTAGGGATTTAAACTAGGAAACCCTAATCTGGCTGCTTAAGCCCTAAGCAGCCCATGGATTCCTTTCTTAAAGGCCTTGGACGATTTCTTATGGGTTTCCCCATAGAATTCATCGAACCTTATAATATAAGGCAATCCATAGCCCAATTGCAATTATCTTATAATTACAATTCCAGTCCTTTAAGTTTAATTAATCTCTTTTAGTCACAAAATTAATTATCAATTAATTCTTGATTAATATTAATTAAACAATATGGTTTCTCCTTTAATATATTATTCCCATAATATATTAATAAATCATATTTAATCCTTTCTCTCCATAATTCATCTTATCAAGTTGCTTTGGTGAAGGCAACCCAAAAGGACCATGCACTATCGGGTCAAGTACATACCAAAATAGTTATGGACTTAGACACTAATCCAACAGAACTCTCCGGCTACAATTTCCATAAACACTAACTCAAATACTATAACTAATCTTAGGGTAAAATGACTATTTTACCCCCTGGTCAAAGTCAACTTCTTGGTTGACCGGACTCGCCAACTCGCCGAGTCCCTTCCATCTGATCTAGTTTTATACCCGTTTATACTCGTCGAGCTTAGTGAAGACTCGATGCGTTCTTCTTCGATGCACACATACTGAGTCCAAGTTCATCCGACTCGCCGAGTTAAAGAACAACTTGTCGAGTCTAAGGCACTCTTCATCGGACTCGCCAAGTTGCTCATCCAACTCGCCGAGTTGCTCATCCAACTCGCCGAGTTCACGGCTATCTTCATAGGACTCGCCGAGTTCATTCAGTCCTTTTTCCATACAGACCTGATTTGAGCCATGCAGCGGCTCCAAACCACAGATCTAGGCTTCTAGGGCATGCTTATCATGTAAAGTTGCAAACTTTACGTGCATGCATAGCTTTAGGGGCTTCAAATGTCCAAACTAAGCTCTTAATGGGGTTCTAAGATCAAGAGGGACCTTAATCACAAATAAGACTGAAACCTAACACTTCTAGAAGGTAATGAGAGTCCAGATCTGAAGTATAACCCAACCATAAGGTTTCTCTACAAAGGATTTGGGGTTTTAGGGCTTAAAAGCAATAATTTAGGGACAAACAAGATCTAATAGATCAATAATCAAGATGGAAACTTCATTACCAGAATGGATGACCACAAATGAATGTGTTCTGGATCTAAGTCCCCTTCCTTGACCTCTTCAACCTCTCTGTTCTTCTACTTGCTCCAATGTGCACCAAAAGTCCCTTCACAAGGCAACAATCACTCAAACTTACCAATGGAGGCTAGGGTTTCGATAAGAAATGCCCTGAGGGTGATGGAGGCTGAGATGGGGCTATAAGGACGTTTATATAGGGTGCAAACCCTAAGGATTAGGGTTTCCTCCTAACTAGCCTACTCGCCGAGTCCAGATGTGGACTCGCCGAGTAGATCACTTAAAACCCGCATCCAACTCGACATCTACTCGGCGAGTTAGGGCTACAACTCGCCGAGTAGCTCTTCCAAAAAGAAACATTTAATCAAAATAAATACGTACCAGGAACGGGGCGTTACAATGAAGACCATAGGAATGATGTTATGCTCATAACCCATCATCGGTATCAGAGCCTAGGTCGTTTTTCTAGTGAATAGATGCAAAAGTGAATTGCCAAAGTTCAAGAAAATCGAAAATATTGTCTTCTGACTGGCAGACTCGCCGATTCCATGAATGGACTCAACGAGTAGGTCCTACACGATGAGTTCCATTGTGGAATCGACGAGTCCAGGGTTCTGGTGCCGGAATTTTCGATTTCTCTGCCAGATTTTGTTGAGGATAATTGTCAAAACTCGTTTTTCGTGCCAAAATCCGATTTTTTAAGTTTGGAATGGTTATCCTCATCAAAATTGATGGATTTGGTTAAATATAGATACTATATGATTATTATAAGTCAAATATTTGACCTAGTAAGATTGAAAAGTTTCAGTTTACACCCTTAGGTTTTATAGTTTAAAATTTAACTTAAAAGTTTTAGTTTTTGAAATTTGAATAGTTAAACCCTAATGTTTTGAAAGGTTTCAAAACTTTTCCTCAAGTTTTGGAATTTAAAATTTAATTAAAAGGTCTTAATTTTGAAATATTAAATTCTAAAACCCCAGTATTTTGAAATGTTCAAATTACACCCTTATGGATTTATTAAATTAATTAAATGTGTAATTAAAAGAAAGTTAATAAATCCATAATGATATGGTTTAATTTTAATTAAATTAAAAAGATAATTAATTAAATTAGACCACCTAGTATTTTAAAAGTGTAAAATACACCCTTATACTATATAGAATTAAAAGTTTAATATTATATATGTATAAGTAAATGTCAGTCTTATCGGTAGTAGGCCTCATTCACGAAGCTGGTCTATAAGGGGTGTTTAAGGAAATTGCTTATAAAATGGCAATTGAATGGGTATCCACTCTTACCAACCGCACTCTTGACTAGTGGAGGGTCGTTAGCTGAACGGGTAGGATAGGACATAACCTTCCATTATAAGTATAATGAAATACGAAGTAACTAAATGCATTTACAAATTCCCAAATCTTAGTTACTTTAGGAAAAATGTGGTGTTGTTGCTAATCCATGAAATTACACATTGCACCTTGTTGGTCGTTAGTGGAGCGTGTGTGGTGAATCGGCACACTAATATGGGACCAATGAAAGATGGCAATGGGTAGCTTGATGTTTATCATAGATCAATGGAGCGTGTGTGGTTAACCGACACATTGATTAGGTGATTTGTAACATCGAGAGTACCAAGCTAATTTACATGGTTATCCAAACGTTATTTGTGATCCTCAGCATCCCAGTCACAAAACTGAAGGCATAATCGAGATTAAACATGCCATTGAAAAGTTCAATGAATCTCAAAAGATCTAGGAGTTTCCATTCATTTAAAACTTAAATTTCCTTTTCGTTTTTCATGGTGGAAATTGGTAAATCGTCATTTACTTACCTTCATATATTATACAATTTGGATTACCGCCCCTCTTCCATATTGTAGGATATTGTGTTGGGTCCTAGCCTTGATATTTCATTTGGGTGTTAGATCAAGGATTCCAATAAACTAATTTGAGTTTCTCCCGTTTTGTAGATGTCAAAGTCTATCAACTGTGGTCTTCCCGAATCCTTCGGAAAAAGTTTTCCACATGAAGATGATGTTCCACGATTGGATTGTGGAAATGGAAATCATGCATCTCTTCCTCCACCTCCTCCAATAATTTTCCCTAACCCACGTGTTCGAAGACTTAAAAAGTTCAAGGTCACTCAAACCCTATTGGTAAACAAACACGAAGATGGAAAGTCTGTACGTGCTCATGTCTTGGATATGAAGTTACATATTAATAGATTGGGAATGTTGGGTGTCGATGTCTCAAGGAAGTTGGTTGTTGTCTGGGTTATTCAGTCACTTCCCGAATCATATAGTGAGTTTATTAGAGAGTACTATGTGATGGACCATGATATGACCCTTATTGATTTGACTTATTTTCTTATTGCTGCTGAATCAGCAATGATTTGGTGCACTGGTCGAGCAAATTTGTCTGATAAATCAATATCCCAACCTTCTATGGGAAATGACAACATTGGAAGTCCATAAAAGTTTTCTCTACGCAAGAGAAAGACTGGGTCTGAGATAGTCCTGTATACCATTCCAGAAGAATCCATATGTTTCTATTACTACAAGAGGGGGCATTGGTTACGAAGCTGCCCTGACTACCTGAGAGATATAAGATATGAGAGAGTCAAGATGTATGACTCTGCTTTAGGTAAAATCCACTATCTAACTCTATTAACTTTTCTATTTTAGATTCTAAATACATGATGTGATAAGATTATATTTTGATGTTTTGTAGGATTAAAGAAAAGAAAGGAAGCTTAAAGGAAGAAGTGAGCTGAGTCGGATCGCGAAGAAATGGATTTCGATCGCATGATTCGATGTTCAGATTTTTTAGTTGCTGCTTAGAGTTATGATAGATTGCTTAGGAATATGTAATAGCATAGTTTTCATTCGAATTTGCGTTGTAAAGACAAGTTTTCCGCACCTTTTATAAATAAAATAAATTTTGAGTTTTGTCTTATTTATATCTCCTTGTAATGTCATTTGTGAAAATTGATGTTTGTGTGTTTCTATTATAAGCAATATTAAGTGGATGTGATTCTTAGTTATGTTATTTATGGTAATGTCGAAATTTTCGAAGTATGGAAAGATTCCCATTGCCCAAGTTTCAATTGGACAGAAGCTTGAAATCATATGATTTAAGTCATGTGATGTATGGAAATCTTGGTACTTAGAAAATTAAGATTAATTCCTTGTTCACATAAGTATGCGAGTCAAGTGAAAGAATAATGAGATTTGGTATGCAATGTTGTACACTGGTCAAGTCCACCACAAATAACAATAAGATTATTTGTCATGATTCACTAAAAGTCTAGTAAATGTGGTTATGCTTACAAATGAATAAGAATATCGAGGTCATGATTACAAGATTAATGTCTAGCTAAGTAGAGTGAAGGTGGCTCCTAGGAACCCATCTTTTTTTTTTTTTTTTTTAATTTTAAATATAGTATATGGTATAAATGAAAAAAATAGGAACCGATTTTATAGTATCTAAAGGACCTACCTAAGAAAATTGATCAAAATATATGAAACATATTATATTTTAGTTCACTTAAAATAGCTCAATGTTTCACTCCACTTAAACTTTAATCATTAGATAGTAGCAATGTTTTAAAACCCGGGTTGACCCGGTCGGTTCAACCGGTTGGACCGTGACCCGGGATAGAAGGCGGGTCAATTGAGACCGGTTTTTTGTAAAAATACGAATCGGATCGAACCGTCCGGGTTTCCTCTAAACCGCGGTTCAACCGCTTATGTCGAACCGGTTAAAACCGGATTGACCCGTTTTAATAGAGTTTGGATAATTGGAAATAAGTAGTGAACGCCAAAACAACGAGCCGTTTGCGGTTTCTTCAATGTTTTTAAATATTTAAACTTTGTGGACATTAAACTATTGGTTTTATATGTTTATGTACTAGTTGTGTGACCCGTATGTTATACGGGTTGGATAAAACAAAAAAAATTAAATATGAAGGTTTAAACAAAAATTTATATAAATTTGAAATTTGAAATTTAAAATTTAAAATTTGAATTTAAAAGGAAACATATTTAATAGTATATGAGTTGTAATATTATAATTTAATGGTTAGTTTTAAATAAGACAATTATTAATTGAGGTGTAAATATGATGTGTTAATTAAAAAAGATAAATAACGAAAAAATGACACATGGAAAAAACATTTATTCAAAAATACAAAAAAATGACATGTGTCCAAGTTAATGAGAAAGTGACATGTGGTAAAACTATTTTCATTTATTAGAGAGGATTATGCATTAAAGTAAAAATATATAAAAATAGAAAAAGACCATAAAGCGGGTTGACCCGCGAACCGATCATCATATCGGGTCAACCAAAAACCCGGGTTTTAAAATATTGGATAATAGCCTAATTTATTTTAAATTAAACAAAAAAAAGAAAAAAAAAATAGCAAAAAACCTTGAAATTTGAAATGTTGCTTTAGCCTAAGGCGTGATCGAAATCTCCAAAGCATCATACATTTTCTCCCTATTGATTGCTCCCACCGTCCACCAATTACTCCCTATGTCGTCTGCCATCCGAGCATCGCCACCAACCCACAATCACCATTTTCTGGGCGCTAGCCTGCTACTATTATTCTTTATTCTCATTTTTTTCTGTTTAACTTACATCAAAAACCAAGTGGTTTTTGATTCTAACATATGATATACATCTACTCTCCATCTTAGGAGTGTTGATATGGATTGAGATTGATCCTTTCCTATGTCCTCTTTGTTGGAGTTATCTTTTTCAAAAAATAGAGGATTGTTTTCCTTAGCTCTGATTATACCTTGTGTATTTATAAGGGCTCCATAAAGGAATGAGAATAAGTTTTTTTTTTTTTTCGATCTCTCTTCTATTACCACAAGTTTCATTCATATACAACCCGTTACCCATGCAAACTCGCCTAGTGAGTATGAAATTGAAGAGGATCAACTACACTTGTTATTCATCGGTATGCATTTGTACTAAAGTAAAAGACAGATGACTAGCAACATTAAAACGGATAAATACAAACATAAAAATTATTTTATCTGTCAAACAAATACAACATTTAACTTCACGCATAAGTTGTCATGCTGTTGCTTAGAAAACATAAATTATATTAAAAGAAGATAGAATGGAAAACATCGTATAAAACATTCAATCTCATTAATGTTATATTAGAAAGTAAATAAGTTTTAAAAGTAAGCAATTAAAAAAAAACAATTTATAAAATAAAGATGTTAATTTAGTTTTAAATGTATATTATTTATTTGACGAATTTTCTGTCAATTTTAAAGTAAAAGTTGAAAAAGTCATATATAATTCTTCTATTCTTATTTTCAATCATTATATTTTGGGTTCTGGGTGAGATCATACACAGCGACTATTTTAAGAGCCTCTCTCTCTCTCTCTCTCTCTCTCTCCCTCTCTTCTTCGTTGATTCTTCTTTCCATAACAAAATTCTGCTCCTCTCCACCACCAAAAATCAAAATCCCTTATTTTCAGGGGTTATTTTTTTTGCGTAATTTGAAGTCACATCCTTCGAATCTTTGAAAAATCTTCTTTCTTTTCCATCTGAGGTTTAAATGGATTTCTAGTTTTTGCTCCTATTCAACTTCATTTTTCTAGAATTTTGTGGGTTTTACTCATTCCAACATTTGAAAGGTTTTATTTGGGTATTGGTTTTCAAGAAACATTTGAAGAACTCCGTCTTTTCCCATCTGGGTTTTAATTTCTTTTCCAATCTTGTTCCAAAGTCCACTTCATATTTTCTTTATTTTATGGGTTTTACTTCTTTCAACATTTGAAGGGCTGTTTTGCGTCTGATTGCTTATCTCTTTATTGAATTTCAAAAAATCTTGCAAACCATGCTGTAAAAACCCTGATTTTGTTCCTTACTTTTCAGTTTACCCTTTCTCCCGACTATATATATATATACCATGGATTTGAAGAAATTTCAAGAATCAACCGATGGTGAGACTGCTACCATGAAACCCGAATCAAGAAGCGTTGGTTCTTCACCAAAAAATTCGAGTGGTCAACTAAGTGGTTTAGGTTCAAAGTCGAAGGAATTCGGTAATATGAATAATAAAGAAATGTTTTTGAGGGCTGATAAGATTGATTTCAAGAGCTGGGATGTTCAATTGGATAAACATTTGAGTAGGGTTTGGTCCAGGGATAGAGAGAAAGAAGCAGCTCATACTAAAAAAGAGGAATGGGAAATCGATTTAGCTAAATTGGATATAAGGAATGTTATCGCTCATGGAACTTATGGTACTGTTTACAGAGGTGTTTATGATGGTCAAGATGTTGCAGGTAAACATTTCTATTTCTTCATGTTGATGATAATATTATTTGTTAATTAATCGCTGTTTGTTATTTTTCACGTTTTAATTTTTGTGGGTATCGATTTGATTGTTATAAAGAGATGTTTATGTGTGTTCATTTATGTGTTTTATCTTGGAATAATTGACATGGGAACTGTAGAAATTGATCACCTTTTTGTATTTATTATTTTTTTCCACAATATTCTAGATATTTTGTTAGGATCATAAATTCATGATCAATAAAAATGTCACCTTATTTCAAGATTAAAAAAAAAATAATGTCTTTTATAAAAGTTGGGATGGTTTCTGATGAATCCCTCCAAGTTTTGTATATGTTTATATATTCGCACTTGAATAATCAAACTTAAGATGGAATAATTTTGTGGGTTTTACTGGTTGTAACTTGTAATGATGAGTTAAGTAATAAGTATAAGATATAGCAGTATGTGAATGTTGGATATGTAGGTTAATTAAGAGTGTAGATTTTAAATATAATCATTTGTTTAATTAACATTTAACAATGCAATATCGGGGTTAATTTAGTAATTTTGATCAAATCTTACAGTGAAGGTATTGGACTGGGGAGAGGATGGACTTGCGACTGCTGCTGAGACTGCGAATCTTCGGACATCTTTTCGACAAGAAGTTGCTGTTTGGCACAAACTTGACCACCCAAATGTCACCAAGGTTCATACTTTTTAATTATATTTTTAAATTAAATAGCCAACAAATTTTATGTCTTTATTCTGTATTTCTTTTTCTATAAAATATTGGTAGTTTGTTGGAGCTTCAATGGGGACTTCAGATCTTAAGATCCCAACAAATAACACTTCAAATGCTGCTCAGAACTCTTTACCCTCAAGGGCTTGTTGTGTTGTGGTGGAGTATCTTCCCGGTGGGACCCTCAAAAAATATCTAATCAGGAATAGTAGAAAGAAACTGTCTTTCAAGATTGTTGTTCAGCTTGCTTTAGATCTCTCTAGAGGGTCAGCTACAAATTTCTTTCCCTTTTCTTCAAAAATGATCACATTGTAAATCTTTTTTTTTCTTTTCTTTTTTTGCAGTTTAAGCTATCTACACACGAAGAAGATCGTACACCGTGATGTGAAAACTGAAAATATGCTGTTGGATTTAAATCGAACCCTAAAAATTGCTGATTTTGGAGTCGCTCGTGTTGAAGCACAAAACCCTAGAGACATGACTGGTGAAACAGGAACTCTGGGCTACATGGCTCCAGAGGTACATACATACATACATACATAACTCACTATTTATTGCAACTACAAGAATCAGAATAAAAGATAACCACATTATTTTTTTTGATTTTGTAGGTTCTTGATGGAAAGCCCTACAATCGGAAATGTGATGTGTACAGTTTTGGGATTTGCTTATGGGAAATTTATTGCTGTGACATGCCTTATGCTGACCTTAGTTTTGCTGAAGTATCCTCTGCAGTTGTTCGTCAGGTTTGTCTGTCTTTTATTCATCTTTTATATTATATATAATATACATACACACACACACGGATTTGTTAGAATATATTTTAGATGATTTGTTTTTAAAAAAAATATATGAGAAAATAACCACACGCTTGTGAAGATGGAAGGAAAAAAAATAAAAATAAAGGATGGAGAATTTGTAAGAAGTTGACTTAATAGGGAAGACCTCACTTCTTTGACTTTCTTTATTTAGAGCATCTACAAGGGGGGGAGCTTATTGATTGTTTATTAATGAAAAAAGCTTTCTTAACTATTGTGGAGGGTTATTCAACATTTCAACTACGCCTTTTCAAAAATTGACTTTTGAAACCATTGACCTTGCTACATGTAGAAATAAATAAGTATTAAAACCATATAACTAACAATGTATTATTGTAATAATATAGAAGATAATAAAAATGATACGAATTAATATTAGTGGGACCTTTAGATAAGTTGACTACAGGTTTTTGTTATAGTGGAGATTTAACGAGGTTTTTGAATTGTCGAGAGGAATTTTTCTTCAACAAAAAACTACATCAAGATAAGTCAAACCTGATTGTGAGTTTTTTCAAAAAAGTTGACTTCTTCGTTTATTAGGAGGAGCTTATTTAAAAATTGTTTTTTTTTTTTTTTTTCTGTCTTGTAATTAAAATATATATTTAAAGTTGTGGGACCTGCAAATATGTTCCTTTTGTCCTCTAAATAGCTGTGGGACCTTCAAATAAGTTCCTTTTGTCGTCGTGGGACCCACAAATAAGCTAAGAAGATGGTTTCTTTGTGGTGGGAATACATCGAGTTAAACCATCTCCACCGCCCCATTAGAAATAGTAATACTGGAGCTGAACTTTCACTTGTCAATTTTAGTCCCTCACATTTTGGGTTTATCAATTTCAACTTTTTTTAATTAAGTAGATATAGGTTACATGATATTAATTAATCATAAGTATAAAATTTATTATTTATGTATCGAATTCATATAAAATTTAATAAACATGTCAAAAAACTAATAAGTTGAAGAAAATATTAGGAATTCATATAAAAATTTTTGGAGTAAAAAATAGAGTTGGGTTGGAAATGAAATGCTATATGCTAACAACCATCATGGGGATGTTCATGTTATTAATCGTATTTTCTTCGTCAAGTAAAAAGAAAAAGAAAAACAGTCGGATGTAGCTGACTTACCAAATAAAGTTTTGTCTTCATTTAAGTAAAGAAACACACGTCAATACGTACAAAATAGTTAGTTTATTTACTTATAATATACATTTAAACAAATACTATCACAGTATTTGTTTGAGTCTAATATTTGATTTTGTATACAGAATCTACGACCCGACATTCCAAAATGTTGCCCGAGTGCATTTGCAAGCATTTTGAAAAAATGTTGGGATGCGAACCCGGACAAGAGACCCGAAATGGATGAGGTGGTGAGGCTTTTAGAGGCGATTGATACAAGTAAAGGCGGTGGAATGATCCCTGAAGATCAAGCCTCTGGTTGTCTTTGTTTTGCCAAGACACGTGGCCCATGATTTATCGTTTTTCCTCATCATTTTGCATAAGTTTACGAGTACGTAAACAGACACAAAAATTTTGTCACGTTGTCATTTAAATCGTAGAGACAAGCATGTTGGGGGTGGTGGTTAATGGTTATATATATATGCGTCATTTGGTTGTTTGCTATATAAATACTATAACAATTACTGTTTATATATGTTTTTTTTTTTTTTTTTGTGATATAAATTTTATGAAATAATTCTCTGGGTGTAGTTGTGTGATTTTGTTTACCTTACATACCATAATCAGGTCCTGTTTGGCTATGCATGACCTAGTTTATTTTTTGAGTTTTATTGCAATGTTTTAAAAACCGGTTTTTTAGTTGAATTGGTTTGATGTTTGGTTCGCGATTGAAGTATTTAACCGGTTCATCTTTGGCTCAGTCAGGTTTCTAGAATTTTCGTGTTCAAACACTAAAAGCATACGTAAAAACAATTTGTAGATCATTCAAAATACATTTAAAAAGTACATCCATAAGTTTTACATCAAAAAGAAAATAAAATATTATTACTAAAACAAAATATAGTTTTAGATGGATAAACGTGTTTTAAAAAGTTTCATAATATTTACCACATGTTTTTATTTGATTTAAGAGAAATCTAAATACATATGAAAAGACCACCAAAGTTTTTTTATGCAAAGTGTTTCAGTTTTATTGATTTTTTATTCAATTTAACCGTTTTTTTGAAAAATTTGACGGTTTGTTCCGCTCCAAAAATAAGCATAAAATCGGTGCTAGTTGAATCGCTTACTTGCACGGTTTCCGGTCAAACTAAATTTTAAAACATTGGTTTATTGCATGTTTGGTATGACTAGTAAACAACATACAAACTAGTTTTTTAAAAACTATTTGAAATGGTTTATTGAGTGTATGAGGTTTTTTTTCCACAAAATTCTCAAATATTACCATTATAATAATGTTAGATTTAAATTATATATCTAAATATTTTTAGTTAAAACACAGAAAAATACAATCAACTGTCTATTTATATTTAGAAGAACAGTCAAATTATATTTATGCTCAGATAAACTCCTATATTATAGGGCGAATAACAAAAAATGCATCAAATTATCCACCTATATTAAAAAAAATCCAGTTATCTTTATGTTAAAAAATGATTATATTATAGGGCAAAATATAAAAAAACATAACCAATTATCCACTTATATCTAAGAAAAACCCAACAATTATTTTATATGGATAATTCGTGCAAGATTTTTCTGAATATAGATTGATATCCGGTTGTACTCTTTAATATTTATTATTATAATATAAATGTTTATTCGAATATAAAGAAAATTGGAGGGTTTTTATGAATATAGATAGACAATTGGTTGAGTGTGTGTTTTTTTTTTTTGTTTTTTTGTATTTTGCGTTATATATATATATATATATATATATATATATATATATATATATATATATATATATATATATATATATATATATATATATATATATATATAGGGAAAACAAAAAAACCCTAAAAATCATAAAAATGCATAAAAAAAAATACCTAGAGATCACAAAACTTTTTTTAAGAAAAAATCGCAGATTTTTAAAGAAAATCGCTGAAAAAAATTTGAAAAAAAAAACTTTTTTTTTTACAAAAAAAAAAAATATTTTTTATTTTTTTCAGCGAATTTTTATAAAAAGCTGCGATTTTTTTCTTAAAAAATGTTAAAAAAAAGTTTTGTGATCTCTAAGTATTTTTTTATGCATTTTTATGATTTTTAGGATTTTTTTAGAGTTTTTTGTTTTCCATAGAACCTAAACTATATATATATATATATATATATATATATATATATATATATATATATATATATATATATATATATATATATATATATATATATATATATATATATATATATATATATATGCGCGCGCATCCCTACACATTCCATAAGAATATATTTATATATATAACTAATAACACATGTTTCGTTAAAAATATTTAAGTCAATATCATAAACTATGAAATAAACATTTTCAATAAGTATTGTAAAGAACAATAATTATTCTTAAACCATATTGCTTTTATTCTTATAGGATGACATACATTAACACTTATATACATAAAATAAAACAATATAAATGATATTTGTCATAATAAATTAAATATCTTAATAATTCGTGAAATATATTTAAATCATTGATATTAAACATGAAATATAATTATTATTCTTAAACTTTATTACTTGAATTCTTATAAGATAACATATGTTTTAAACTTATATAATTAAAATAAAATAATATGCATGATATTTATAATAATTAATTTAATATCTTAATAAATAAAAAGCCATTAGTAAAAATCATTTAGTTAAAGCCTATTTAATTATCCAATATTCACAATTTATATTATATTAATTCGAATACTTACTAATTATAAGATATAAGTTAAAAAATATTGTTTTATTTATTTTATAAAGTTTTTGTATAATGCGGAACACTTTTATATAAATAAAAGATATTAATATAATATTTACAAATAAAAATACAAATACATAATTAATTACATGAAAAAAAAAAAAAAACATATGCCTAACCTATGTGTGTTTATGTCATTCAATAATAAAGTCAACATTTTTTTTTGAACCGGCAAATGAAGAATTATATAAAAATAAAGCCCTAGCAAGTTGCTAAGGAAAATTACATCAAAGAAGGAAAGCAAAACAAAAACATGAGAAATAAAAAAGAACGATTACAACCCGATAAAAGGGTTTAGACACCAATCTGACCACCGAATCGAATCACATTTTCCTTTATATTTGACCCAAATGAACAATGTTAACATAATGATATCCATCAATTTCGTCGGTTGCAGCTTTTTGTTATTGAACACTCTATCATTCCGTGGCTTCCATATACTCCACATAGTTCCATAGAAAATTCCCAACAAGCTCCTTTTTTTTCTTTGGATAATTCCCCCAATTTGATGCATAATCGAGTGTATCGTGAACCGTGAAAAAGTTTGCAGGCTGAATGTTGCACCATTTTAAGATCCATTTCATTATCGTTTTTGCATAAGAGCATTGAATCAACATATGATCTGATGTTTCTTCTGCCTCTCTACAGTGATAACACATTGTGGAGGTTACATTGACACCTCGTTTTGATAAAGCGACAGATGTCGGAATGCGCTCCTGATTTGCTCGCCATATAAAAGTCGACACCTTGATTGGAATCTCCTTCACCCATTCGAACCTCCCGATATCAACAGAACTGCTGTCTAATTTCCTCCTTAATGTGTTGACTTGATAATTGCCATTGCTACTGATAGGGAAAGTCCATTTCAAATCATCACCTTCGTTTGTTGATTGTTTTTCCATTACCATGTTAATTGTGATACCACATTTATCTAAATCTTTTTTGGAACAAGCGATGTTGTTCCAAACCCCAGGTAAGGTTTTTAAGGATAATATGTGATCAGGTTTTCCTTAAAGATTGTGAATGCCGAAGATAGCTTTTGCCCATATTGATTCCGGCTCATAACGAAATCGCCACCACCATTTTACGATCAAAGCCGTATTGAAAGCTTTGATCGAACCGACACCGAGCCCCCCATCACTTTTGTTAGCAATTATCTTATTCCAAGATACCCAGTGTATCTTGGAATTACCCTCTGAACCGCCCCACAAAAAATTCCTTCTTAGTTTTTCAAGCTTGTCGATTATCCCTGCTGGTGCAACAAAAAGAGACATGAAGTATGCGGGCAAATTTCCCAGGACCGATTTTATGAGTGTGAGCCTTCCTCTGAAAGATAGCGTCTTGGATTTCCAAATGGTAAGCTTTTTTTTTGAAACCTTTCAATTACCGGTTGCCAATGTTTCTTTAGCCGCATATTGGCACCAACAGGCACCCCAAGTAGTTGAATGGGAGATTCGATGGTTCGCCCCAAGCGGAGTCGCCCAACGAGCAACTTTTTCAAAGTGTGCCCCGACCCCAAAAACTCACGATTTATTAAAATTGACTTTTAAACCTGATGATACATGGAAGCATCTTAAAATTCTTGCCAAGTTCTTTACGTTGTGCTCCGTCCATTCACCAATAAATAATGCATCGTCGGCATATAATAAATGTGAGACGGTTGGGCCACCCTTTGGGAGTTGTAGCCCTTGAAAAACGCCGTTGTTACAGGCCTCCTTCATTGCAACAGTCAAGCCTTCCATTGCTGCAATGAAAAGAAATGGAGAAAGCGGGTCGCCTTGTCGAACTCCCTTGGATGCTATGAATTCCTTTGTCAGTGTTCCATTTATTAGAACCGATGCTTTTGATGACGTTAGAGAGCCCTTGATCCAACCCCTCCATTTCTCACCAAAGCCCATTTGATACATATTGTTGTCCAGAAATCTCCAATTAACGGAATCAAATGCCTTATCAAAGTCTACTTTGAATAATAACAGCTTCTTTTTTGCTTTTTTCGACATTTATATATATAAATATTCAACGTTTGCTAAATCTGAGAGAAATCCATAAATGTTGTGGGGTTTACCTATTTCTTTTCTTTAACTATTTTCTTTATAATTTTCTACAAGTAGAAAAAAACTATTTTAGTCTAGATACATTAAATACAACTAGAGAATAAAAATAATAATAATAATAACAAACAATATTCTGATAAAGATTTTGTCACAGTAAGATCGGCTAAAGGGGTATATTAACACAACTTTTACACCATACAGTATAAGATGGAAAAATAAGCATTTATCTTCAAATAAAGATTTTGTCTCTTATCCTAGTAATTTTTCATGTTTATAATTTCTCTCCTCAATTATTTTTCATCAAATATTTTTTATCTTTCATAAAATTTTAAGTTAATTTATTGTTATTTTATAAGTTACAATTCCGATCTCTTATTATATTTTAAAGGTAGGTTTTTGATCCTTTACAAAATTTCTTTTTTACAATCTTCTTTTTAATTTATTTCCTTAAGATAATTTTTCAAGTATTATTTTCGTATGTCTA